ACTATACAGGTGGCACCCATGAGGAAAGTTTTATTATTAAAGGGGGAGGGAAGAGGGAAGAAAGAGAAAGGAGAGAGTGGGAAAAGAGAGAGGGAAAAAGAGGAAGTGGAGGTGTTATTTAGCGGCGCTCTTACTCTTCGAGGAAATGTCATGAAACACGACTGAATCCACTAACAAGAGTTTTATTAAGATAAAAGAGACAGACGAGTGCTCAGGCTTGTGGAGAGACACGTGTGTGGAGAAGAAGAAGGAAGAAGAGGAAGAGGAAGAGGAAGCCACGAATATGGCGCTGGCTTATAAAGGCTGGGTGGCGCATGCATACACAGGTCGACATAGCTACTCCACGCATGCGCAGATCACATGGTTGCATTGTGCGCTCTTAAACAACCATGTGAAGTCACGGGGTCCTGGTCACCGAGACGCCTTGACCCGGAAATGGCTATTTTGACCTGGAACTGCTAGGCGGAAGTGTCTAGGTCCGCCAGGCATGCGCAAACATGCCCAACCGTGGGGGCGTGTTGTGAATCCATCAGGAGGTGCATGCCTCCTGGAAGGAGAGGGAGGGAAAGAGGAAGGAAGTGAGAGAGAAGGGGGAGGGGTTTTCTCTTAAAGGGGACTTTAGGTAAGATGACTTGGTCAGGATGCTGGGTGGGTCCCCAAGGGGTGGGTCTGAATGCTAATATTCCCTAACACTGGTCCCCACTGTGTGCCAGTCTCAGCCACTCTGCACTACCAACTCCACTCCAGAGTCCTTGATGCCTGGGCTTCCAGGCCTGCCTTGCTCCCCAGCCTGTGGCACCCAAAACCTAGTAGTTGTTCAGTTAACAGATGATGACTTGTAGCTGTGTGGTCGCTACACGAGTGTGTGGGTTCACTCGGGTCTGTGGAATGAAGACACAGAGGCATCTTAAGAATGAATTTAGCCTGTCATGGCTGCAGGGGGGTCCAGCCTCCAAGGACTGAAGCCTAACCCTTTGCCTAGGGCAGTTTTATTTCTCTTCAGTACAGTTCAGCCAGTTAATTTCCATATGCTCAAAACAACCTGAAAGGAGCTTCCAACAACACAATGCCAAGTGCAAATTCCTCGGTTTCTCAGGTACCATGGTTTCCTGAATCAAGTTTTGCATAGGCCTTTGTATCCTTGGGAAACTCTAAGACAAGATTCACATAGAGGGCAGCAAGGGAAAACAAAAGGTGTCTGCTAAACAAAAGATGGATTAGGGCTAGGTGCTATGCTCGGGAGCCAGGCCAGGTGCAGCTCAGCAGGGATGCCACTACAATGACTGTTAGTGTGCCCCTCACTTCCTGGAGAGCATAGAACTCTGGGTCTGACAGAGGGAGTTAGAGCAGTGAGAGCAGACATGAGTGGAAGAAAGGTCAGAATGATGAGAAAGGATGACATCTACAATCCAGTGGGCCCTGGTGCTGGCCAAGATTGGCTTTTATACTAGAGCACTTTCATTACTGTGTGTGTGTGTGTGTGTGTGTGCACGCCATGGGGCACGTGCAGAGGTCAGAGGACAACCTGTGGAAGTAGGTTCTGTTCTTCCACTATGTGTTTCCCAGGGATGGAACTTGGGTTGTCAGGCTTGGCGGCAAGTACCTTTATCTTCTGAGCTCTTTTGCTGGCCCCTGTAAAATTTTTCATATTTGAGATGTGCCCCCATATTAGTTTATAGCTTCACACTTTCTCTAGCAGGCAGCAAGCTCAGCAGCCATTTTCATTACCTAGTAGAAGACCTTATACTTTGACCCATCCCACGGGCCAGGTTATTTGATGAGACCTGAGGAGGCACCTCCTGAAAGATCAATGGGGGCGAGAGAGAAAGGAGACCAGGCGCATAAAGGAAGACAGAGTCAGTCTGAGTTGCGTCAAGGTCTTGTTTATTGACTGGGTGTTGAGGCTTATAAGCAGGGCTTCAGGCAGTGAGGGGGAGCAGGGGAAGCAAGGAGAGAAGAATGGAAAATTCCTAAGGGAGGGTCAGGGTGAAGTCCCTTTGATCCCAGGCCCCCTGCAGCTGGCCGACAGGCTCCAGAAAGTTTATCTAATCGTATATCCTGCAGTTAGGCCAGGAACCTCCTGTCAAGGCTTGACAAAGTCCAGGACACAGCTGCCCGGAGTCGGTCCCCAACAATACTTGTTACAAGTTACCCCCAATCCCTTATTCCTACTAATTCTGGTAACCATCAGTCTGCTTCCTACCTCTGCAGAGTTGCCTGTTGGGAGCATTCTGTATAAACAGAATAAAATATGAGATGGCTTTCCATTTCTGTCAGTCAGGATAACATTTTTTTAGTTTCATTCATGAAATAGCATGTTTAAGAATGGCATTCTTTTTTATGGCTGAGTAATATTCCAATGTGTGGGCAATTTTTAGAGACTTTTGAACAAATACATTTGTGTGAGGGAGAGGGGTGGGAAGAGACTGATGGATCGTTGTTAAATTACTATTAGATGAAAGCACAGTGCCACCAGAATAGTGTCTGGTCCATTTGGAAAAGCTAGAGCAAAAATATGTTTTTACTGCAGTGGAGAGAGAAATGATTGAGGGATGGAATGTGACCTGAATTTGTGTGTCCAAAGCATCACATGACACCTCATTATTATGTACAGTTTTAAGTATTTTTTTATTTTTATTTTATGTGCATTGGTGTTTTGTCTGCATGTATGTTTGTGTGAGGGTGTCAGATCTTGAAGTTACAGACAGTTATTAGCTGCCATGTGGGTGCTGGGAATTGAACCTGGGTCCTCTGAAAAAGCAGTCAGTGCTCTTAACCACTGAGCCATCTCTCCAGCCCCTATGTACAGTTTTAATGTGTGAGTTAAAAAATAAATTTTAAGCTGGGCGGTGGTGGTGCACGCCTTTAATCCCAGCACTCGGGAGGCAGAGGCAGGCGGATCTTTGTGAGTTTGAGGCCAGCCTGGTCTACAGAGCGAGATCCAGGAAAGGCACAAAGTTACACAGAGAAACTCTGTCTCGAAAAACCAAAATAAATAAATAAATAAATAAATAAATAAATTTTAATCAGGCATAGTGACACATACCTTTAATCCCAGCACTCAGTAGGCAGAGGCATATATATCTCTGAATTTGAGGCTAGCCTAGTGTATATAGTGAGTTCCAGGACAGCCAGGACTACATAGTAGGAACCTGTCTCAAACATAAATAAAATAAAATAAGGTTAAAAACATAATATGTCTCAAAACGTTTAAAACATAATCTGTGAGGCTTGTATATCCAGGATGCTCACCCACATGATAGAGTGTTGATGGCCTTTGGTGCACTGTCTCCCAGTTCTTCCCTGGGTCTGCTGACAGGTGGAGTGGGAAGCAGATCTTCTTGTGCCCAGGTCACAAGACCCCCAAGCAAGACCACCACAGAGCCGATATCCGATGCAAGCACACAGAGGTTTTTTTAATAACAAAACAAGCAAGCTCAGGACTTGGTCCGTGAAGGACAGCCCTGAGCACTCACTTTAAGGGGTTTATATAGGAAAGGTTTACATGCAGCTTCGGATTGGACGAGGGGGCTAGGGGTGAGGTAGTTCTTTGAAGTTACTGACTGAACTATAAGCATGAGGTTACTAATGGCTAACAGGATTCAGGATATCTATAGAGACATAAATTTTTTACTCCCTATGTCCTGCTTTTGTTGAACCCAGGATATATACATTCAGATTTATTGTTGCAGTCCTGTTCTCCTATAAGTTCAATTTCTGGTCTGTTGAGCTCATTACTTCCCATATCTTGTTTTGCCAAGTCCAGGATACATAGATTTATTATCCCAGCCTTACAAGTTCAACTTCTGGTCACTTCTAAAACTGCTGGTCAGCAAGTACCTTTGGAGGAGGGGAGGGGGAAGCATCTCCCAAGATGGCTACTGATTTTTCCCTTTCAGTCTCTTTGCTGGATACATCAGACTCATGTTTCTAGGAGGATGGAATCCTTGGCAGCATGGCCAAAAGAGCCTGACCATAAGTGTAAAGTGGAATAAATTCAGCCTCCTCGGTGACCCTATAGGATTTGCACTCAGTACTTGGCTTGGATGTCCTTATAGGTGTGTCAACTTCATGTCATATATGGGGAGCCAACCCATCTGAGGAACAGAGCCCACACTGGGCCACACAATTGACATGCTCTGGGTGAATAGGTTCTAGTTTCATGCCCCACTGGCTTCTAGGGGTGATTGAAATGACACAAATGTGCATGGCTGCTCCTGCTCAGGTTATGTCCAGGGGAAAGCCTTTGGTAGCTCCATGACCAGGCCTGTCTGTCTGCCCTATATATGCTTTTCCGAATTGCTTTTACTACTTGTGTCCCAGAGGACTCCTAAGGGACCCTGTGGCTACCCACTAGATGACACCAGGGAGTCTCCCATCTGAGCAGCAGAGAGGGACAGACTCAAAATCACCAGGCACTTGTCCCCTCCTGAGTCAAGTCACCCTCTGGGATTATTCAGGACTCTTCTTTCTCCAGACAAAGGATGAAATTAACATACCAAAGGGCTGTCCTTGGGGCATGATCAGCCTGTTGTGCACCATCCTCACTGCTGGGACTTTCTGGTTTTTGTTTTGTTTTTGAGTCTTAACCCAGACTGGCCTTGAACTACTTCTGTAGCCAGGAATGACTTTACATTTCTGATCTTCCTGGCTCCTCCTCTCCGGTGTTGGGATTACAGATATGCACTACCCTACCTGGTTCATGCAGTGCTGGGGTAAACTCAGAGTTTCGTGCATGCCAGGAGAGCCCTCTATCAACTGATGGACCCCAGGATCACCTGCATGTCAAGAATACTTACCACAGTGGCCAGATGTTTGGCTCCTGATCATCCATCTTTCGGGTTCATTCTTTGTGATGCCTCTGCACCTGCCTCTTCCTACCCCTCTTAGGCTTTTTCCATTTTAAGCCCTGTGGAGAGGTCTGACCTGACTGAATCCCCCTTCCTTTTGAGGGTGGTGCAGCTGTAACACCATCATTCAACACTTTGCCCTGTTTGCAGGTGGCCCTGTCAACTTTTGCTGTCTATGTGACCGTGGATGAGAGCAACATCCTAGATGCAAAGAAAGCCTTCGTGTCCCTAGCCCTGTTCAATATCTTGCGCTTCCCACTCAACATTCTGCCCATGGTCATCAGCAGCATTGTGCAGGTGTGTATTTGGCAGAGGGGGCCAGGAGGGTAACATAGGGGCTCTCAGAATCCTCCCATGGTCATCAGTAGCATCACTGCAGATGTGTGGGGGACAGTGGGGACCAGGAGTTGGGAGCTGTCAGCATACTCCTATGATAATTAGCAACATTGTGCAGGTATGTGGGTGACAGGGAACCAGGAGGAGGAATGGGGACTCTGAACCACAGTGCACACAGGTTCTTCAGTGTCATCTGGATCTAAACTGTCCCACTGATTTACTTGAGAAGCCCTGACCACACTTTTACAAATTGCTCATGTTGAGTCCTGGATGACCCAGTGGAGCCTTGTGCATGAATCACTTGCTGATCCCAGCATGGCTCCTATCTCAGCAGTAAGGAGTCATTTGATTCTATTCTGAGAAAGAAACACACTTTCCTCCTTGGCACAGAATGTCCGGCTTTGTAGCCTAGGTTGGCCTAGAACTCAACTCTAGCACAAGCTGGCTTGGAATTCATGTTCTTTCCATTTCGGCCTCAGAAGTTCTGGGATAAGAGGTATGGACTTTACCTCAAGACTTCTCTTTTAATCTCAAAGAATCTTTCTGGAGTGTTCTATGTTCCTCTGGCCCTCTCTCAGCTGTGTTTAAAAAAACATAAGTCTTGGCCTACTTCTTCAGTTTTATATTCTGCTGATGGGTCCTGATCCACTCTTTAAAAGCTCTGAGGACCTCTTTCCCTCTTCCTCTTCCTGTTTTCATCCATTCTTCCTGCTTTCATTCTTTGTGCGCTGAAGGATTTTTAAGCAAACCTAGACCCTCTGCCTATACGCACTGCAGCATGTGTTGTCTTTCCATAATTAGGACCCAGAACCCAGTAATTTATCGAAGTCAAACGCAGTCTGCCAGTGTAGAGGTGCTGCCTTCCAAAGTCCCATTGCATGAGGCAGCATGCCCTTCACTTACTGACTTCTGTGGGCACCAGGTACAGGGTAGCAGGTGGTACAGATAGTGTCAGGGTGATACACCCTGTGCTTACTTCTCCAGGCCAGCGTCTCCCTCAAGCGTCTCCGGATCTTTCTGTCTCACGAGGAGCTGGAGCCAGACAGCATCGAGCGGTGGTCGATCAAGGATGGTGGGTACCTTTCATCTACCCACTTTGGCTCCTTATCCTGGCCCCTCCAGGACTTACAAGACCCAGGGTCTGGCCTCTGCAGAGGGACAGGAAGGGGCTTCACTATTATCTTGTCCCCTGCCCTTTGGGCTTTTCAGTCCAGGTGTTGGTTCTGTTTTGGGTGAGAAACAGCCCAGTTTCTGCTTCTGCCTGTATGTGTGCACTCAGAACTTCATTTTCCTCATCTGGATCTTTCATTGGATGTTTTAATTGATTAATTTATTGCTGGGGATTAAAAACAGGACTTCACACATAGCTAGGCAAGTGCTCTACTACTGAGCTATAGCCTCAGTCTACTTTTTACTTTTTGAGACAGGGTTTAAGTTGCCCAGGCTGGCCAAACTTGGGATCGTCAGCCTCCTGAATGGGTGGGAGTACAGGGCTGTGTCACTAGACCCAGCCAGGTATCCTGTGGATTTTTTTTTTGGTTTTTCAAGACAGGGTTTCTCCATGTAGTTTTGGTGCCTGTGCTGGTTCAAACATACAATGTAGCATGGCCCTGAGAGCAGGAGCCAGGGTTAGCAAACTTGCCTGAGATGCCCAGCAGGTAAGTCTGGGGCTGAGATTTCCTGAGCACCTCTTCTGCTACCAGCCTTTGTTCCTGGACCTCTGTGTGCATATACTCACTACTGCAGTGGTTCAGGGTGGTGCCAGCAGCACAATCCTGGCTCACAGGAGGAAAGAGGTTCAGAGAGACTGCCTAGCTGGGAAGTGGTAGCATTCAAACTCACACCCTCTGGCTCAGAGCCCAGTAAACAGAATTGAAGACAGCGTCTGGCCATTGGTAATGAGGTGTATGTAGTGCCAGGAGCCTAGTGGGCTATTATAGGATCTCATCAGTGATGTATGAGTCACAGGTCTTCTCCCCTGCCCTTAGAAGGTTATCACAGTGGGTGCTTGGGGCTCACAGTTCTTGTTGAGGACAGCCTTATGATTGTTGGTGCTGACTAGTGTCCCTGACATCTCCCCACCACATCTCATAGTAGTCATCCCAGTGTGACAACCAAAGTCGTCTCCAGGCACTGCCATGTGTCCACTAGGAAGACACTTGTCCCTTTTTTAGAACTACAGTCCAGGCAGGTGCTGGAACTCTGCTGCATGGTTTTCTGCTGTCCTGAGGCTCTTGGGGTGTGGGAAAACACTGTGAATTCCAGAGCCAAGACAGCCATCAGAGCTCCTATAGTCAAGCTGTGCACAGTTCTCTGCAAGCACCACCGAGCCAGGACCAGTCCTTCCTCTTCTGAGGTGTTTAATCACCATGCAGCCCTGCCTGTCTGCCCCACAAAAGCTTAGTTTGCTGCTGCAGTGCTGGTGTACCAGCTTCTGGCTGGTTCTTGGAGTGGCACACCTTGTTTCCTCTTTTATGAGGTGCAACTCCTGCTTCGCACTCACTCCTCTTGAGGAACTGCAGTTAGTTTCTCTTAACTAGCAACCTCCTCTTGCTGTGGGTTTCTGGTCTATGGCACTTACCCTGGAAGTGTTTCTGGCAGCTTTAAAGGTAGTTGCTAATTAAGGAACTTAAAAAGAAATAGAGACAGAAGTAAAAGGAAAACAAGGGGAGACAAAGTTAATGGAGCAGGGCAGGACTTTCTGGATCTTATAATGTGGGCATTGGACAAACTCCCACCCCTTCCTCACCTTCCTGTAGCACTTCCCTGTTCCCTAGCTGGCTTCTAGTAGATTTTTTTTTTTCAGTTGATTGCCACTAAAGTTGTAGAAAGATTGACCTGCTGGGAGGTGGGCAGGGTGGAATGGCTAAGGAAGGGGAACAGAAAGGGAAGATGTTTTAGGATCCAAGAATTGAGGAGTAAAGGGTGTAGCTTTAAAGTAGATGATAGCCTAGGACCTGGAGTGTGTTGATGGGTGTGATGGTGGTTACCTTGGTGGAGAGAGGTTTACATGAGGGCACAACTCTTTTCTCCTTGATCTTGGCTCATGCTTAACACTCCCAGCTTGAGATCAAGGAGGGTCTCCCCAAGCATTGAGTAACCAGTGATGGTCCTCAGCCTCTGCAGGAGACCAGAGCATGGCATCTGCATGTGTGCCTGTTGCCATGCATGACTCCTAACACATTGTCTCTGATGTTTTCCAGGTGGGGGGATGAATAGCATCACTGTGAAGAATGCGACGTTCACATGGGCTAGGGGTGAACCTCCCACGCTGAATGGGTAAGCCTGGGAACTAGACACACTGACATTGGGGCCCTGAGCACTCTACCTCTGTGACCATGACTTTTGCCTTTCTGAGCCTCAGTTTACCCATCTGGAAAAAGATCCAATCACAACTACTTGGGCTGTTGTGAGGAGCAGTTCAGAAGGTACTTGGTATAGGTGTCCCTTCTGATTGTGACAGGAAGTCATGCTCCTGGGCCACAAGGGGGATTTGGGGTTAGGGGAAGTGAGACGGTCCATTTGAAGGTACTGCATGATCCAGGGTCTCAGGAGCCTGTAGAACTCTGCTATTCTTCTGACTTCCTTCCTATCTCCTATTGGCCCAAATTGGGTGTGGTGTTTCTCTCAGAGCCAGTCACAGTGCCTGGAGGCCCAGGGTATGCTGGTGTCTAGGCCGGGTCCCTGTTGAAGTGTTCCTGTCTTAACAATGTGGTTCTCTGTATTTCTCAAGGTTTCCTAACAGCCTGTCTACACCTACCCCTTCCACTGGTGTCTGCCCACACAGCCCTTATCTGTCTATGGCGTACCTGTTCCTGTCATTCCCTGGACACCTCTTATGTGCTTCTCATTCACTGTGACTGTACTTGCTTAGTTGTTGGTTGTTTTTGCTCCTTTGGGGGGCCCGCCACCCAGCTCCCAGATAAATCATACATGGAGGCTTATTCTTAATTATGAATGCCCAGCCTTAGCTTGGCTTGTTTCTTGCCAGCTTTCCTTAACTTATCCTTTTGCCTCTGGGCTTTTCTCATTCTCTTACTTCTGTAAATCTTACTCTTATTCTGTGGCTTGCTGTGTAGCTGGGTGGCTGGCCCCTGGAGTCCTCCTCCTTCTCTAACTACTTCTTTCTTTTCTCCCAGATTTCTCCTTCTGTATATTCTCTCTGCCTGCCAGCCCCACCTATTCTTTCTCCTGACTGGCTAGTGGCCATTCAGCTCTTTAGTAGACCATCAGGTGTTTTACACAGGCTCAGTAACAGAGTTAAACAAATGCAACATAACAAAAGTAACACACCTTACACAGCTTCACAGAGTTAAACAAATGCAACATAAACAAAACACACCTTAAAATAATATTCTACAACACTTAGTGATCTAATCTCCTTAAGGAATCTGAAACATAAGGCCAAGGGGACTTTTTTGGAGGCAAGTTTGTCATTTGTGCCCCTAAACAATTGTTCTCTGACGTGGCAGCTTGCCTGCTGTATTTTATCAATCACAGAACAGACTCTAAGGAGAAAGGGATAGCTCCCTTTCTACTTCCACTAACTACTCAAGGTGTAAGATCTTCCATAGGATTAACTTAAATCCTGCCCGATTCATTTGTAGTGTTTCTCTTTCCCGTGCCTGTACTCCACTCTCCACATCCTGGCACTCAGGGTTCCTGGTCCTTTCACCTGCCACTTTGAATCCCCTTAGCCTGTAAGAATATCCTGGTCTCCCCTGGAAGAAGGGAGGAGCTGCCTTCCTGGGTGTCCTTCACAGGGTGGCCCCGTGACCCTGCTCCTCATAGTGCAGCACAAAAGACTCAATTGCGATGAGTGGTCCAGGGGCTAGGGAGATGACGGCAGTAAGTAAAAACCTGAATGTGGCCCTCAGCCCATGGGACAGAAGCTTGGCATGGTGATATCCATGTAATCCCAGCACTGGGGAGGCAGAAACAGGTAGATCCTTGTGGCTGAGTAGCCTGCTTGGTGAGTTCCAGGCCAGTGAGAGACTCTAAAAAACAAGGTGGATGGCACCAGAGAAATAACACCTGAGTTTGCCCTCTAACCTGCACTCACATGTTTGCGTACACAAAAGAACAAAACAGTTGATCCATGTGGTTAGCTAGCTAGTGCCCAGGGATCAGAAGAAGGGCCTCTGCCTGGGGGCCTGGGATGCCCGTGTGCCCAGCCTAGGCATGGAGGCCAGTGTGCTGAGCTGTGAGCTGCAGGAGCAGCTGTGTCTGTCAAGCATGAAGACGAGCTAGTCTCGCTATAGAGCTTACAGCTCATGTTTCTGCACTTTTTTAGGCAGAGCCTCACTATGTAGTCTTGATTAGCTTAGAACTTACCATGTAGGCCAGGCTGGCCTCAAACTTGTAGATAGATATCTGCCAGCCTCTGCCTCCTGAGTGGTGGGATTAAAGGTGTGCACCACTACTTCTATTTGTTAACGGACCATTTCAAAGCTGAGTATGGTGGTGCACACCTGCAGTCTCAGCACTTGGGAGGGAAAGGCAGGAGGATCATGAGTAGAAGGTCAATCTTGCTTACATAGTTGGCAGCCAGCTTGTGAGACTACCTCAGGGATGGGGGTGGGGAGTTCTGGGGAGATGGCTCAGTCAGTAAAGTGCTTGCTGTGCTAGATGAGGACAATCCATGTTAAAAGAGAACAGCATCTGCTGGATATAGCAGTGTATGCCTGAGATCCCAGCACTGAGGAGGCAGAGACAGGAGGATCCCTGGAGCTTACTGGGCAACCATCCTAGAATACTTGAGAAGCTCCAGGCCAGTGAGAAACCTTGTGTCAAAAAAGTACAAGGCAGGGCTGGAGAGATGGCTCAATGTTGCTCTTTAAGAGGACCTGGGTTCAATTCCCAGCACCCACATGTCAGCTCACAACTGCCTGTAACTCCAATTCCAGGGGGTCTGACACCTTCATACCAATGCACATAAAATAAATTTAAATAAATTATTTTTAAAAAAAAAGTACAAGGCAGACAGAGCCTGAGGAACACATTGCTCTCTGGCCACTACATGTCCATACACATGTGCACACACATGTCCACATGTGCACAGAAACATAAGGACCATTCAGAGTTAATAAGATCTTTCTGGAACTCAGCTCTCATCTCTTCACACACCCCCTCAGTGTCCTAAACCTTCTTCCAGGCCTGGCCTGGCACCCTGGTCTTTTATCCTCTGGACTTTCTCAGCCAGTCCCAGGTGCCTAAGAATTTGAGTTCAACTGAAGGTGGCTTGTCCTTGGGACAGTGTTGTAGACCCAGAGAGGTGAATACCCTCTAGCACCTCTTCTGAGTGACACGTAGCCCTTGGGCCCTACGCTGGCCAGGCTTTGTGATGCATTTACATTGGGCCCCTCAGGCCATGGCCCACCTTGCCCAATAGCCTTGGAGGTGTCCAGGCATTGACCATCACAGCCAGTGAGTGTGGGCCACCCTCAACAGGGGAGGGTCTGTGGCACTGTGCTTTTCAGGCTCCTCATTGTGTCCTTGCAGCATCAACTTCTCCATCCCTGAAGGAGCTCTTGTGGCCGTGGTGGGCCAGGTAGGCTGCGGGAAGTCATCTCTGCTGTCAGCCCTGCTGGCTGAGATGGACAAGGTGGAGGGACACGTGGCTCTCAAGGTAGGATGGGGCCAGGTTGGGGAGAGATGGTCTGGGAGGAAGGCTCAGCCCAGTGTCTCTCACAAACTGTCCAAGGGAACAGCCCTCTCCTCCTGCCATCTCCCGTTTTGTCTGTCCTAGGAAGGCAAGGTTCCCGTGATAGCCACTCCTTGCTTTGCCCCAGCTCTTTGGCTAGTGTGGAGTGTGGTAGCTCCTCAGTAAACAGGATGTGGATGCTCAGATAACGCTCCAGAGGAGAGGTTATCTGTGACTTCTGCCTTCTGAATTTACCTCATTTCACTTCACATGATGATCTCCAGCCCCAACCGCTTTATCTCGTGTGTGTGTGTGTGTGTGTGTGTGTGTGTGTGTGTGTGTGTGTGTGTGTGTGTGTGGCTGGAAAGCAGAAGGGGGAGAAGCCGAGGGAGGGAGGGGCACTGGGGTGAATTTAACCAAAGGACGATGACGCATCTACCTGAAAATGCCAGGACAGAGGGAGGGAGGGGTGAAAACTCAAGGTCTAAACTACATCCCCTCCACTCTCCCTTCATTGTATAGTCTCTCTGGATGGAACCTTCTGGCTTCTTTCTTTGGGATTTTTCTGTGTCTCATCCTGTAAATAGGATATAACAAGTGCTGATTGATGTGGCTGGAATAATCTCAGAACCTGGTGTGCGAAACACAGTCTGAATCCTTAGTGTTAGTTGAATTCTTAATATGGGCCTGGAGGGGAAAAGTGTGGAATTAGAGATTTGAGGTGCTGTGTGCTTTGAGCTGAGCTAAACTTCTCATGAAGCGTTTAGGCTGCTATAAGAATGAGTCTTGGGGCTTTCTACGTGCACCTTGTTTCCTCTGAGGCCTTTGCCTACTGTGTAAATCAGTTCCTTACAGTGTCACCAGCAGCCTCTGCAGTAGCCAGAGAGGAAAAACAAACTAACAAAATCCCAACTATTAAGCTAGCCTGTGCCAGATGCATGTGCCTGGACCTTCTGTCATCTGCATCCTGTTCTCCTGGGAACTCAAGTTTGGGGATATGGGCTTATGTTACTGTTTTATTCCAATTCAGATACTTCCCTTTCTGGTTCAGTGTGCTTTTAGAAGTAAGTGGACAGTGTTTGGGTCCAGGCAAATACCTGTTGTTTCAAGATATGTCCTGTTGTTTCTTCCAAGCAGTGGTCGGGCAACACGAACAAGACTGACAAAGGGAAATTGCCTGTCATGTTTAGATATCCATGTTGTATTCTGTTTCATAATTCCTGGGTTCCTAACATCCCAGGCACTGATGTTTTGAGTCTAAGAACTATTTGTAGCTGGTGATTTTAGAAAGTGTATTGAAAACATTAGTTTTGCCCAGTGTTGTGGTAGACGTGGCCTGTGACTGAATATCTTGTGAGGTTTACAACTGGGGTGCCCTGGCACTTGGGGCTTATAGAAGCTGGAATGTTAGAATAGCAACTGAGTCATTTTTCTGAGATTTTAGGTCCAAATTCAGTTCTATTCCCTTGCTTTATAATCCTTTGTGGCATTTCATCACCTTTTTTGATAAAGTTGGACATGACACCAGTCCTGTGTGAACTGGTCCCTGTCACCTGCCTTCCTGCTTGCCCTGCTCTCACGAGTCACCCATGTCCAGTCAAGCTGTCCTTTCTGTCCCTTGAAAGAACTGGATTCATGTCTTCCTCGTCTGTGAGATGGTCCCCTGCATTGATGCCCTTCTCTGTTCTTGCCCTTGCTGTGTGTTTTGGCAACCGGCTCTTCGTGAAGGCAGATGTACGCTATTGTCTTTTCATCAAGTCTTTGTCTTTCCTCTCCACCACCTGCACACAGGGCTCTGTGGCCTATGTGCCCCAGCAGGCCTGGATTCAGAATGACTCTCTCCGAGAGAACATCCTATTTGGGCACCCCCTGAAGGAACGTTACTACAAGGCAGTGTTGGAAGCCTGTGCTCTCCTCCCAGATCTGGAAATCTTGCCCAGCAGGGACCGGACAGAGATTGGTGAGAAGGTCAGTATGGCATGGGTATAGCCTGTAGCTGTCAGCTGCTACTGTGTAACAAACAGGGGCACACTTTGTCGGTGCCTTTCACATAAAATGCTGTCCCCCTGCAAGTGGACTGTCAGGGACCTGCTGTCTTCAGCCTGTGCCTCTGCTCCTTTTGTGAAGCTCTGTGAGTTTAGTGAGGGTCTGTACCATCTGGCTCTTGGTGCTGTGGTCTGAGTTGTGGTGTTAGTGGCCACCCAAGTGGGAGCCTCTTGAATGGTGATGCAGAGTCCAAGAGAATAAAAAAAATTAAAAAATTTAAAAAAAAGGTGTGCTGTGCTTTTACCACATAGTGTCCCACCCACAGTACAAGACACTAGGAGTGGCTCGCCTTGCACCTCGGAGGTGTGTCTATGAGTGATAATACAGACAGCTCTAGACTAGCTGACATACACTTCTTCACTCTGCCACCATGCTAAAATTTTTAACCTAAGTCTTCTGCACAGAAGTTCTTGTGATCCCTAATGGATGGCTGAGGAAAGGGAGCCTCAGAGAGGTTAGAGGACTTGCCTGATGTCAAGTCACAGCAGAGAGACAGAAGTTCTTAAGTCCCTCTTGTCACCTATTCACTTGTCACTTTTGAAGAGGGCCTTAGGTGTGCCTCCCAGCTCACTTGCTGCTGTGCAAATGGTTGTCTTGTGTATATGCTGGGAGTGTAGCCACACAGAGTGACAGGGACCTCTTGGGAGAGCTGAGTTTGTGTGCTCCCAGTCTCCATCCAAGGATCCATCCACCAACTCGCTTATTTGATGCATGATGTCTTTGTTTTTTTTGATTTTCCGGAGCTGAGGACCAAACCCAGGGCCTTGTGCTTGCTAGGCAATCGCTCTACCACTGAGCTAAATCCCCAACCCCGCATGATGTCTTTTACCTGGTGTGGGTCTGGAGATCCTTTGGATCGGCTGGGGCCTTTGGGTTGATACGGGTTGGAGGTGCCAACCAAACTGAAGGGTCTGAGTATTGTGTGGGATCCAAGGCAGGATTGCCAGGGTCTCCCTCCAGGACAGGCTGGGTAGGTAGGCAGCCTGCTCATCAGCCTTGTTGTATTTTATAAATGCTGGGATCTAGCACTTGGAGACACCTGACTGTCCCCCTCAAGTCCCAATGGCAAAGTCTGGAGAGCATCAAGGATTGACTAATCTTGGATACTGCATCTGCCTTTGGGTCAATAAATTATGTCCAAAGGACATTGGGAGGGACCTTTGCAGCTGGACCTGTCATCCCAGCATGGATCCTCATCAGGAAGCTGAAGCAGGAGAATCATGAGTTTGAGGCCAGCTTAAGCCACCTAGGAAGATCCCATCTTAAAATACAAAAAATGGCTAGCAGTGTAGAGCACTTGTTTAGTATGCGCAAAGGCCCTGAGCTCCCCCGCTCCTCCCTACCAAAAAAAAGATGAGAGATAGCTACTGGGGCCGGCCTCAGCACAGGAAGGCAGTGGATCTGGACAGGCTCAGGGGCTAGCCTCTGCACAGCACAGGGAATGTATCTGGACAGGCTCAGGGGCTAGCCTCTGCACAGGAAGGGAGTGTCCATCTCTGTAGATTTGGGCAGTTTATTCAGTAGGTGTTACACGGCCATGGTGTTGGTCACCTGTTGTGGGGGATGGGCTGCTGCTGTTCAGTGCTGACCCCCTCGTCTGTGAGGAGTACTGGCTGCATCTCAGCACTCTGGGTGCAGCCAGCTTCACTATGTGGCTGCAGTAGAAATGTCAGCTCAGAGTGAAGCTCACCACAGACTGTGGCTGCTAACAGCAACAGTAGTGATGCCAGCTACAGCATAATAATATAATAAGTGTACAGAAAAGAGTATCTTTGCCACATCCACTGTGTCTTCTACAGACTTCTATAGGCTGATGGCTCTGGAGCTGTCATCAGCTGCCACTGCCTCCTCTTTCTTGTGGCACTAGAGACCAGACCCAGACCATTGTGTACCAGGCACATGCTCTGTAACTGAGCTGCATCCCCAGCCCTCCTTTTATGTTTTACTTGAGATGTTGCTTAGGCTGGTCTTGAACTTGCCATTCTGCTTTAGCCTCTGAATAGCTGGGCTGATAGACCTGTTCCAGCAGGCCTGACTGTCTGCTTCCCCTCCCCGAGCACTTGGTGGGTGGGGGTCAGGCACTCCACTCAGCAGCTCTTCTGTACCCAATCTTGTTTTGTATGGTTCTGGGGTCCCTCAGGATTGTTAGGGGATCCCAAGAAACCCACCCTCCTCACTGTCTTCCTAGGGTGTGAACCTATCAGGAGGCCAGAAGCAGCGTGTGAGCCTGGCCCGAGCTGTGTACTGTAACTCAGACATCTATCTCTTTGATGATCCCCTCTCGGCTGTGGATGCCCATGTTGGGAAGCATATCTTTGAGAAGGTGGTTGGTCCCATGGGCCTGCTGAAGAACAAGGTACTCTCCCAGGGCCAGGACTTAAGTTAATTGGCAGTGCGGCTCTGGACAAGTCCTCAATTCTTGGGCTTGCTTTCATGCTTTGGGTGTGTGTGTGTGTGTGTGTGTGTGTGTGTGTGTATACAGTACGTATGTATGTGTCTTAGGGTTTGTGTGTGTGTGCACATGTACGTGCACAGTATGTATGTTGTCTTAGGGTTTATGTTGCTGCAACAAACATCATGGCTAAAAAGCAAGTTGGGGAGGAAAGGGTTGATTTGGCTTACACTTTCACATCACTGTTCATCACTGAAGGAAGCCAGGACAGGAGCTCAAACAGGGCAGGATCCCGGAGGCAGGAGGCAGGATGTCTTGTTTAACCTACTTTCTTTCTTTTTTTTCTTTTTCAAGATAGGGTTTCTCTGTGTAACAGCCCTAGCTATCCTGGAACTTGCTTTGTTGACCAGGCTGGTCTTGAACTCACAGAGAGCCACTGCCTCCCAAGTGCTGGGATTGAAGGTGTGCACTACCATTGCCTGGCCAGTCTGCTTTCTTATTGAACCCAGGACCACCAGCCCTGGGATGGCACCACCCACCATCTCCCACCCCCTCCTTACAGATGGATCTCATGGAGGCATTTCCTCAATTGAGGCACCTTCCTTTCTGATGACTCTGGCTTGTGTCAAGTTGACACAAAACCAGCCAGTATAGTACGTACTGGTGTGCATGCATGTATGTGTGCAGGTGGAGGCCAGAAGTCAATCATGGGTGTCTTTACTCAGGCACCTTGTTCTTTTAGACAAGGTCTTTTTCCTGAACCTAGAGCTCATCGATTAAACTATACTGCCCCAATGATCCTCCTGTCTCTGCTTCCCTGGTAACAGGACTACAGGGATCTCCCCATGTCTGACTTTTTTCACATGGATTCTGGGGATCAAACTCAGGTTCTTGTGTGATAAACTCTTTATGAATTAAGCCATCTGCCAGCTCCCTAAGGCAGGTATTTTACCAGGTCTTTTATAGGGTGTGTTCTTGGCCCCACTTGAATTGATTGCCTCATGGCTAAAGGACCTTTCTTCCTCATGACCACCCAGACCTCCAATAAAGCTGTCATTCCTTCCCCATGGCAGGCAGGGGTGGAGCTTGGAGCAGGAAGAGGCTCAGCCAGCCTTAGCCAGAGAGGAAACAGAGGCTGTGATCCTGGGTTTTGTTTTGTTTAGGCTGATGGAGGAACATACTGTAGATGAATTTCTAAGCGGGCATAGTAAATAAAGAACAAGGAGCCAAATATAAGGGTGAAAGCCTTAGAGATCAGGGAAATAGTGATAGCCACCAACCTTACCTCTCTAGCTCCAAAGCTACCAAAAGGGGACCTACTTCCTGTCTACCCATGCCTTTATTGCCTTGCTGCTCTGCCCTCTCATTGGCTCTTAGCCCAGCTACCTCACTTCCTTGTCACTGCCTGTCTGTACAGACCTCCAGGTCTCTCTGGTTGGTACTGGGATTAAAGGCATGTGTCACCACCCTTGGCTGCTCCATAGTGTGTCCTTGAACACCCAGGGACCCTGCCTGCCACTGATCAGATTAAGGGTGTGTGCTACCACTGCCTGACTTTTGTGTTTACTTAATGGCTTGCTATTTCCTCTGATCTCCAGTCAAACTTTATTTATTAACATACAAATAAAATATCATCACTTTCCAGCACAAATAAAATATCACCACAACATACTGGCTCTTACTAATGTGTGAAGGAAGAAATGTTGAGGTTTGAGAAAAACAGCAAAACCAAAGCAAGTATTCCCACCCTTTCCCTTAGAGATGGTGTGCTGTGTATGTCAACTTTTAAAGCAGTCGCTATCCGGCTCATCAAGAAGGAAATATCATCTGTTAACAGTCTGATACACATGTATTTGCTCAGCATGGCAAAACAAGCAGAACCATGCAGCACAGACCAGTTTTGTGGTGTATTTGAGCTGGAAGGATAGGGAAGTTACTTTCTAAAACACAAACATCAGAGTCAGGCATGGTGGAGTTCACCTGTTAGCCCCAGACCCTGGGGAGGCTGAGATCAGAGGGTTAGTTCTGGTCTACATAGCAAGAACTTGTCTTAAAAGACAAGGGTTGGAGAGGTAGCCCAGTGGTAGAATGCCTGCCTAGCATGCACAGGCCTTGAATTTAGTTCTTAGTTCTGCAAACACACAGTAGGGCTGTCAAATGAAGATGCCTCACTATTCCTTCATCCACATTCTTGGGTGGTGTCTGTCTCCCTCTTAGAGTTTACTTCTCAAATAGTCTCCCAACTCTGAATTACCCTTCTCTGTAAACTGCCACCTCCAGCACTGGTTCTAGTCTGTGGGTCATTTTGTCTCCATCCCTGTAGTCCAGGCAGGGCTCTACTGGCTTTGTTCCCTGCTGCTCCTGCCTGACATGAGAGAGAGAGAGAGGGGGGGGGGGAGAGGGGGGGAGGGGGGGAGGGGAGGAGGAGGGGGGAGGGAAGGAGGGGGAGGGGGAGGGAGGGACGGAGTGGGGGGAGGTGAGCAATGGCACTGGGTCCTGAGATCCAAGATACCTCTAGTCTCTACAGGGATGTGACAGTTTCCTTCACAGTGCTGATGGGATCAAAGTCTCTGCTTTGTTCATAGACACGGATCCTGGTCACCCATGGTATCAGCTACCTGCCCCAAGTGGATGTCATCATTGTTATGAGTGGCGGCAAGATATCAGAGATGGGCTCCTACCAGGAGCTGCTAGACCGGGATGGGGCCTTCGCCGAGTTCCTGCGCACCTATGCCAGTGCTGAGCAGGACCTGGCCTCAGAAGATGACAGTAAGGATGGCAGGGGGACTCTCAGGAGCTGGCTCTGATCATCATAGCTGCTTATGGGAGGGTTTTACCTGTGCTCTAGGGGCACAGTTCATGAGAGTATTGGGCAACAAGCACATTGGGCTTTTGGGGACCAACAAATGGATAGACCTGCTTAACCTTGCAGGTCAGGTAGAAGGGTTCTCAGCACAGGGTACAAAGGGTTGGGTTTTGGCTTTGTGACCTTAAGGTTAGTCTTTGTCCTTCCTGTAAAGTACTTTCTCCTGTGGGCTTTAGGCTCCTCAATGGCTAAAATGGAGACAATAATCATAGTTTTTTCTATTCCTAGGGGGGCCAAGTAATAGTGACAACCATGATGTAGCTCAGAACAGCATGAGGCATATAGGATGTAGCCTAAGGCAGAGTGTGAACACTCACAGTGGCCATGTTCCTCAGAGCTTTGTGGTCCGGGGTCCCTTCCTTAAGACCCTCTGAGCTGTGTCTCTATTCCTGATAACCCCAAATAGCAATTCAGGGCCAGCCTGACATATGCTGGTGATTAGTGTGGTCTTGGGTATATGGGACATCCTGGGTGCTTGATAACTTGTTCCTCTGACACATGATACTACAGACATGACTGTTGCAGCCACCCCACCTGTTGTCCTGGGCCTCTGCTGTTGGCCTGAGTTTTAAGTGCCAGTTGAATCTGCCCCTGCAGACTTTGTTTCTGGGGAACTTAGGAAGCAGGTGCCAGGCTCCAGCAGCCTGGGTCCCTCTATCAGTGGCCAGCAAATTGGGGAACATTTTGCAGCCTTCTCAGGTAGGCTCTTGTTTTATTAGTCACACAGGCTCTCAGAGGACCCTCTGGTTAGCTACAGGGTGTGGCTGCTGTGGTGCCCCGTAGTGGCATTAGAGGGTTGGCTCCACTTCCTCACTGGTTGTCACTTGTCAATCATCCCATCTCCCATCAGAGGTGTACAAAGTGCCTGCTGTATTGAAGGTGCCCCTTTTCAGTGTTGTGTACCTTCATGTAGTGCACCGGGAACTGGGAGTAGAATGACAGATATGATCTAGTCTGTGTCTTGGAGTCTGGGAGGAGAGACAGACTAAATGACAAAGAATGTCATGGTGGTTCCTGCATCAGAGGAAAGGCCCCACCCACATCACCCTGAGGTGGGGTCCAGGATACATCTGAGCCGAGTGGCCTTGTCTCACCTTCATGTTGATCCTCATGTAGCTGGCCTAATGGAAGGGTCTGTGGGGCCTGGCCTTTTCCTAAGGGGACAATGGATTCACCTGCCTCCTACTGTCACACCTTCCCTGAGCCTATGACCTGCCTGACTACAGTACTTTCCAGGCTGGTTCCTCCCAACAGTGTGGGAATGGAACTTGGAGCTTTGCTCGTGCCAAGCCAGTGCTCTATCTCTGAGCTATGCCCACCCTCCTTTTTCTTCTTTATTGCCCATACTGGAGACCAAGCCCAGACCTTGTTGCAGGTTGGGCTGCATCCCCAGTCCTGCTTTTACTTTTCACATTGAGATGTTGTCCAGACTGGCCTTGAACTTACTGTCCTCCTGACTCGGCCTTAAGAGTAGCTGGGACTAGCTGGATCAACAACAGAGAGGGAGAACAAGGAATAGGAGACCATGGTAAATGAAGACCACATGAGAACAGGAAGAAGCAAAGTGCTAGAGAGGCCCACAGAAATCCACAAAGATACCCACACAACAGACTGCCGGCAATGGTCGAGAGACAGCCCGAACTGACCTACTCTGGTGATGGGATGGCCAAACACCCTAATTGTTGTGCTAGAAACCTCATCCAACTACTGAGGGATCTGGATGCAGAGATCCATGACTAGGCCCTGGGTGGATCTCTGGGAGTCCAATTAACGAGAATGAGGAGGGTTTATATGAGCGAGAATAGTTGAGACCAAGGTTGGATAAAGCACAGGGACAAATAGCCAAATGAATGGAAACACATGAACTATGAACCAATGGCTGAGGGGTCCACACTGGATCAGGCCCTCTGAATGGGTGAGACAGTTGATTGGCTTGATCTGTTTGGGAGGCATCCAGGCAGTGGGACCAGATCTTGTGCTCATTGCATGAGTTGGCTGTTTGAAACCTGGGGCCTATGCAGGATTGTTTGGCTCGGCCTGGGAGGAGGGGACTAGACCTACCTGGACTGAGTCTACCAGGTTGACCTCAGTCTGTGGGGAAGGCTTTGCCCTGGAGGAGATGGGAATGGGGGGGGGTTGGGGGGAAGGTGAGGGGGACGGGAGGGGGGAGAACAAGGGAATCCGTGACCGATATGTAGAACTGAATTGTATTGCAAAATAAATTAAAATAAATTAAAAAAAAAATTGTTACTAAAAGATGCACTATGTATTTATAACTGGAGTGATCACAGAGGCCACACAAGAAATAAAGCAGTCCTTATCAGAAAAAAAAAAAAAAAAAAAGAGTAGCTGGGACTGTGCACCATGCTTGGCTTCCCTGCTCTCCTGCTGGTTAAACACAATTGGAGCTTCTGGAGAAAGATGCTAGTCAGGGCTCTACCAGCCCAGGTGGGATGGGGAAACTGAAGCATGCATAAGGCAGGTCCTCAGCCCAGTTTACCCCTTCAGTCCTCTGGGTGGGTTAAGAAGAAGAAGAAGCACGGAGAAGGGGTTGCCTATGGCTCCTAACATTTCCCAGATCTCTTGACTTCCAGGCAGCAGAGTGATAACTGAGAAAGGTCAGTAGCATCAGGGCTGTGATGTAGGAGGATGTAGGCATCCTGGAACAGCTGCTGTTGCTGCATGCTTGGTGGGGACCTGGGATGCGCTTATTTCATCATGAGGCTTTGTGGGTGGCTCTGGGATGTATTTCCAGATCCAAGCTTGCTTATCTCCCAGGCCAAGTAACCCCATCCGGCATACTTCTCAGAGGCCATATTGGGAAGTGCTGGGCATATAGCAGATGGATAGGGAAAGGACAGGGTTCAGAAAACTGCTTTTCCATCCCTGGGCATGAAGGATGGTGTGGGTGACCCTGGCAGTGAAGGAGAGATGTGATGTAGCAAAATCCAGTGGCTGTACTAGGGTCCCCATCCTCTCTCATATGCAGTAGTGTGGGGCTGAGGTTCAGACCAAGGGCTCTTGGGCAGACAACTGAACCTACCCAACCTATTTTAAACAAACAAATGTGCAAGTAACCCATCAATCAGTCAGAGGCCTAGAGATGGAGTGGAATTCGGGGACTGAGGGCTCTAGACAGCCTGCTAGGGCAAAGTAATGGGGATGGTCTGTAGCCATTATGGCTATTGATGGTAAAGTAGGGTCTCAGGAAAGGGATTCTGACAAGTACTTCCTAGGTAAGGGAGCCCTAAGGTGATCCTGGTGGACCATCAGCCCATGGGCACCGGGTAGGTGGAGAAGGAGTCACCACAGAAACTCCTCTGAAGCAGGGGCAGGAGGGATAGGGGGTGTACCATGCATGATTGTGTGTGCTTATTTATGCCTGAAAAGTTCTGCTTGTTATCATTCACCCTAGTAACATGGCTGTTTGGGGGTTTGTATTTTTTTTTTTTTTAAAGCAAGAAGCAGTGGCCAGGTTATGGAGATAAAGGTAAGTCAAGTGCTTGTCTTAGAAACACGAGGACTTGTGTCTGATCCCCAGGACCCAAGTAAAGAGTCAGGTATGGGGAAGTGGAGATAGGCAGATCCCTTAGGCTCACTGGCTAGCCAGCCTACCCTACTCACTGAGCCCCAGGATGGGAGAGACCCTGTCTCAGAATTCAGGATGGACAGCACTCGAGAAACAACAGCCATGGTGTTGTAACCTCAGTCCATGTGCATATACACACAGACATGTATGCTCACAAAATAACATAATGAAAATGTACAGATACTGATGTTCAAGGGGATATTTAAAGAGCGAATCTCAGTCCTAGCCAGGTCCAGAATTAACCTGGAGCACATTCACAGATGTTCATACAAGCAGCACCTCACTGAGACTTGTGATGTCACCTCTGCCTCCTGCATATGAGGGTCAGGTACATTCCCGTTTTACAGATGTGCAGCTTGGCTGGGAGAGGTTTTGCATTTCCTTAGGGCACACAGCTGAGTGAAAGCTCAATCCCACTGACTGCTGGAACTGAGTCCCTTTAGGGATGCAGACAGGATCCAGGTATCTGCTCATGTACAGAGCCACCCCCACCCACCTCAGGGGGATTCTTTGTTAGCTTGGAGCCCTCCCCTGGCCCCATGCTCTTTAGCTGTCTGTGGCCCTCAGGACTGTCATGAGGTAGCCTTGCTCTGCATTTTGTCTTGATCTGTGTGTCATGCTTCTGAGTCCCCAGGTCATCCTGACAGTGTTGCTAGCTCTCTGCTTGTGTCTGTGAGTTGCCTCTGCCCTGCACACACGCACGCGCAGTATGCTTGGTGCTCCTAGTCACCATCAAGTGCCATTGAGTTCTGATCTTGTTGACACCAGTGGATCCTTCTGGGGTTAGGGCAGGCATCTAACAGCTGTATCCCCATGTGGCCTCACCAGTTGTTCAGACATCAAAACCTTATTGCTAGAGACATGGATGTTCTAACAGGTCTGCTTACCCAGGCTCTGGGCATCTCCTGGGTAATGTGACCACACAGGATGAGCTCTGGCACTGAGGGGGCCTCTGGGCCTTTGCCTGTGGTGGATGCCATTGTTACAATAGTTGACATTAGTTTGGTTTTGAGACAAGGCCTCAACATGTAGCCCAGGTTTTTAACCTGCAATCCTCTAGTCTCAGATGACAGCCTGCATCATGAAATGGGTGTGAATTTGTGTTAAGCAGTGCCCCCTACTGGATGGATGTTGAGAGCCCAATGTACTTGGCCCTGTCTGCCCTCCCTGCCTTGACTCCAGCTTCTCCCAGTGAGTGCTTTTTTTACCCATGGCTCCTGGTGCTATCTGCCCCCAGCAAAGCAATCAGGAGCAGAGGCCTGTACTTCTCTGAGGGTCTGATCTGTGGATGGAACTTGGAGCAATGTGCTTCTATCTTCTTAAGCTCCCTGGCAGTCAGAGTCACTGTTGCCTACTCTGGAAGTGACTGGGTTCTTGGCCTTTTGTTTGCTTTGCCCAGCTCTTGGTGCCACATTCTCCTCCCTTCCTGTCTTCTGCAGGTGTCAGTGGCTCAGGGAAGGAGTCAAAGCCAGTGGAGAATGGGATGCTGGTGACGGTGGGGAAACACCCTCAGAGGTAAGCATTGGGAGGGCATCCAGCCCTGCGTTGCTTCTGGCCCTGTATCTCTGCCTGTGAGAGTTGAGAAGGAGCAGGTAGCACCTCCACACTACCCACCACAGCTCTCAGGGATTTGGAATATGTGTACATCCTGCCCACCTATCCATTCCTCAAGAGCTTTCCCAGGAAGGAGCCAGCACTGACCTATAATTCACACAGGCCTGCCCTTCATTTGTTTGTTTCTACTTCTGAACCTTGCCCTGTGCATGACCTGTGTCATTCCTCAGGTTCCTGAGATGGGGCCTGACACCTTGGGTGATCACAGACAGTCACACTAATGGTGATGCTAGTCTGGGAGCTGGGCACAGTGTTAGCCTGCAGTCTACTGGCCTCCAATTCTCTCCTGGCCTGCTCCCATCTCACAGCAAACAGATAGAGGCTCACCATCTGGGCAGCTCTAGAGATGCCCAGCTCAGATTTGAACCAGTGCCCAGAGGCTCTGAGCCAGCAGCCCTAAGCTCTAGCTTATGCTCTTCAAAGATATTACTTGGGATTAATTGGAGAATTTTTTTTGAGGCAAGGTGGTGGTGTTTTTTGTTTGTTTGTTTGTTTGTTTTTAAACTCTTTACTTCTGGGGGCCCCACCACTCAGCTCCCAAATAAATACACAGAGGCTTATTCTTTCTTATGAACTCCTGGCCTTAGCTGTTTCTACCCAGCTTTTCTTAATTTAAATTATCTCATCTACCTTTTATCTCTGGACTTCTACCTTTCTCTATTTCTGTCTGTCCTTTCTCTCTTATTCCATGTCTGGCTGTGTGTCTCTGTGGCTGGCCCCAAGCATCCTCTTCTCCTTTTCTTGCTCTTCATTCTTTTTTTTTTCAGAGCTGAGGACCAAACCCAGGGCCTTGTGCTTTCTACCACTGAGCTAAATCCCCAACTCCTTGCTTTTCATTCTTTTTCCCAGCTTTCTTCTTCTATTTATTCTCTCTGCCTGCCAGTCCCACTATCCTTTCCCCTGCCTCGCTATCTGCCATTCAGCTCTTTATTAGACCAACCAGTTGCTTTACACAGGCACAGTAACACAGCTTCACAGAGTTAAACAAATTCAACATAAAAGAATGCAAAACAGCTTTGCATCATTAAACAAACGTTACACAGCATAAATAGATGTTACACATTTTCAACTAATATTATACAACAGCAGGGTCTTGTGTATGCCAGGCTGGCCTTGGATTGGATAAATAGCTAAGGATGAGCTTGAACGCCTGATCCTCCCGTTTCTACCTCTTTGATGCTGGGATTACAGGTGTGTGCCTAGTTTAATACCATGCTTTAGATGGAACCCAGAGCTTTATTCTACCAAACAAGCTACATCTCCAGCTCCCTGATCCTTTCTTTACATGAAATATTGTTCCCTCACACCTTCTGCCCATTGCTTTTCACACCTATCACAGCAGCCCCATTCCTAACATACACATCCCTTTCCATGGAAACATGTTCTTCTGGGGAGTGTCAACAGGGGCACAAGTATGTATGTGTTCATGTGTGTGCTTGCACTCCCTAAGGTTCTTCTTTGACATCCTACTCTCCTTGGCAACAGGCATCTCAGCAGCTCTTCTTCCCACAGTGGGGATGCTAGCCAGCAGCACAGCAGCACGGCCGAACTGCAGAAGGCCGGAGCCAAGGAGGAGACCTGGAAGCTGATGGAAGCAGACAAGGCACAGACAGGGCAGGTGAGTGAGACACAGTGCAGAGTGCTTTGCTTGGCATATGGGAATGCAAGCCTGCCAGGGCTCTATGTTTAGTTTCTATGCCGAAACCCAGGTCAGAGAGGCTAAGTGACTTTCCTGGAGTTGGGGTCTGAGCTGCTGTCTCCATGTTGGTACTTCAGTTTCTGCCTGTGCTCATGACTGCCTGACTGTGAGCAGCCTGGAGTATTGAATGGGACCTCCCAGGCTACAGATAGGCCAGCTGCAACCATTTCTCCATCCTTATTGTCACTTTGCCGAATGTGTTGCACTCCCTTGCACCTCAGGGCCTTTACACTTATGGGTCACCCCCTTCCTTTCCTATTTTCCATTCATAGCTGGTAAACTCTTCAATATGACTTCCTCAGGGAAAACCTACCCTGGAAAACCACCTGGGCACTTGCATAGCATTCTGTGCCTCTTATGGCTCTTCTCTGCTTATATGTTTGAGTGGGTGATGATGGATTGAGTGGGTGATGAGTGCTTGACTGGAAGCTATTGTGGGAAGCAGAAAGCCTGTCTTTGCTACTACTAGCTGACATCATTGATTAACAGGGTAGCAGGGTATCGAGGGCCTGGGCACAAGAGGGTGGGATGGGCTGTAAGGAGTCACAGGAGCTGCTATCCTCATGCTGGCACTCTATGGGTCCTAGGTGCAGCTGTCAGTGTACTGGGACTACATGAGGGCCATTGGCCTCTTCATCTCCTTCTTGAGTATCTTCCTCTTCCTATGCAACCATGTGTCCGCACTCGCCTCCAATTATTGGCTGAGCCTCTGGACAGATGACCACCCCACTGTCAATGGGACTCAGGAGCACAGGACGTTCCGACTGAGTGTCTATGGGGCCTTAGGCATCTTGCAAGGTATGGCTGTGGTTACTTCATGTGTAATTTCCTAACTGAGTCCCTGATGCACTCATGTGGACTGTTAAGTGAGTCTTCTTGGTGTATGAGTTTCTTCTGCATCCAGGCATGCTGCTGGGAAGGCGTGTAGTACTGTTTGTGGCTCTGAGTGTCAATGTCCCCATTTTACAGGTGAGGTGACTTACCTTGATTGATATGGGAGGGCCCCAGCTGACAGGGTTGGCAGTGCCAACTTCAGAGTCTGCCTGTTCTTGGTGAAAGAGCCTCAGGTAGAAGTTCCCAAAAGAATTCTGTTGACTGTGGGCTGTTTGGAGGAGCCACAGATGTCTCCTGATCTCAGAGGTAGCTTTGGAATAAGCCATCAGAAGATTAGGCATGGATGTCTTGAGTTTCTCCATCTATAACCTACTTCCCCCTGCCACAGAGCCAGGGACTGCAGTTTGGAGAAAGCAAAGAACTGAGAGGGTGTGGTATTTCCCTGGGTTCACACAGCATCAGTATCTGCTTCAAGAGCTGTGCTGTCTGGCACAGTAGCCATCAGTCATGGGATGTGATTTGAATTTGAGTTCATTAAAGTTAAAGGAAAATTCAGTTCTTCAGAAATGCCTGCAGTGTGTAGTATACAATGAGTGCTGGTTACTGAGGGCCACCATCACTGGCTTGCTGAGACACACAGCTAGTCTGCAGATGACACTTCCTGTATCTCATACTCAAATCTCTATTGCCATCCTAGGTGTGTCAGTATTTGGCTACTCCATGGCTGTGTCCATTGGGGGCATCTTTGCTTCCCGTCACCTGCACCTGGACCTGCTGCGCAATGTCCTACGCTCGCCCATGAGCTTCTTTGAGCGTACACCCAGCGGGAACCTAGTGAACCGCTTCTCCAAGGAGTTGGACACAGTGGATTCCATGATCCCCCAGGTCATCAAGATGTTCATGGGCTCACTCTTCAATGTCATTGGAGCTGTCATTATCATCCTGCTGGCCACACCCGTCGCCGCTGTCATCATCCCACCCTTGGGCCTTGTCTACTTCTTTGTGCAGGTGAACCACAGATGCTCCCTCATGTGCCATATCCTCAGAGGGCTGGTGAGAATGTGACCGCAACACTCAGCTCTGTTATTGTCTGTTGTGAATACTTAAGAGGGCTGCCTTTAATGTACAGCACCCATTTAAATAAATGTGCTCATCAGTTTTACTCTTTTGAGCTGTATATTAGGGGGAAAGCTCACGGCTGTCAAGGCAGTTGTTAATAGACTGAAGAACAAATTCTACAGTGGAGTCATGACAAACAGCAGCCTCATCAGGGTGGGTGCTAATGCATATAGCACATTAGAAAGCAGTTCATTTTGAGACTGATGTGGCCCTATGGGTCAGTCGACACCCCAGGCTGTTATTGCTGCTGTTAATACTACCCTTTTTGTTTAGTTCTGCTTTGCTGTCTTCACGTAAGTTTTCAATCTTTAAGGTGGTCTCATGGTCCAAAATGGTCACCAAAGTTTTAGCTATCATATCTATAGTTCAGACATTGAGATTAACACAAAGGAACAGAACAGGGAACCTGTGGCCTTTATATCAGAACTACTCATTTAAATCATCTAGTCCTCAAGCTCAGCCATATGACCATTATTTGCAAGGGAGGACTGGGTACATTGTGGTTTTCAGCAACCAGTTTCCTTCGGGAGAGGGGCAGCTGTTCTGGTTCGTGCCTTGTCCCCTTTCTTGGGTCATTTCTGTGTAGATTACATTTTCAGGTGACAGGTGAGAGAGTAGAGATTCAAAGAGGAAGCATCTTTCTCAAGTGGCAGAGCCAAGAGTGGGACCCCAGGTCTCTGTGGCTCTGAGGCATGTGCTCAGAGCCCTGGCTAAAGCATAGCCATTCATAAGGTTGGCTGTTGAGATTGCTGGGGGATAATGGCAATGTAAACTAACACCTGGTGGCATCTGCTTGTCATCCCAGCACTCAGGGAACCGAGGCAGGAGTATTCCATAAAGAAAGATGAAATTGTAGGGTAAAAGTCCATTTTCTGGACTTCCCTATAGCTTCTTTAAGTCAGTGCCACCTGTTTACTGTAACATCTGGACTGCATTTACCAAAATGTGGTAAATGTGCTCATGGCTGCCTGGAAAGCTTCCTGAAGGTTCCAGTTCAGAACAGGCACAGTGTAGCACTAGAAACTAGAAATGGTATGACCTTAGAGCTCCATGAGGAGTAAAGTGTTTTCCTTGTAAGCATGAAGCCCTGAATTGATCCCTAGATAAGCCAAGCCTGGGTCATCAAGATGCTGCCAAGCTTGATGGCCAAGCAGGACCCAATGGTGGAAGGTGAGAACTAGCTTCCTCAAATTGCCGTTGATCTCTATGTATGCTCTATAGCATGAATAAGTAAGTGTAAATTTAAAAAAAAGATAAGGAAAGGCAGGTGAGGTGTGTTTATAATCCTGGTGCTAGAGAGGCAGAGACGGAAAGACCTCTGGGGCTCATGGGCCAGGCAGTCTAGCCAGCGAGCTCTAGGTTCAGTGAAAGAGTCTATCTCAGAAACCAAGGTGGAAAAGAGATCAAGTAAGTCATGATATTAACCCCTGACCTCTACACATGTTAACATGTGTACACACAAATAACTTGTGGTGTGGTTGTATGCTGGACATGGTGCTGCTGTTGCAAGACATGAGCTGCCTACTCCCATACCCTGTGGATGAACTTCACAGGTGCTACAGTGATGGAGAGACACCAGACTGAGAGCTCCATTTCATGGGGAGGAGGTTTAAGAACAATGTAATGACTGTGGTGACTCAAGTCAGAGGAGTGGTAGTGCCTGAGGAAGGAGGTCATTGCCAGGATCCTCTGAGGAAATTGTGAACATGGAGAGCTTGATGGGGTTCACCAGGTGTAGATGAATGTGAGATGGTGATTTTCATTTGTGGGCTGAGAAGTCTCATGTGTGCTGGGCAAATCTATGGCCGTGGCTTCTCAGCCCCAGCCGTGAGTCAGTGTTTACTCAGTTTTGTTGCTCAAAGGATTTAGTACACCCCACAGCTACATTGTCATTTCTGTTACTATGACAAAATACTTGATGTAAACAGCTTAAGGGAGAAGATTTTCTTCTGTTTACAGTTTCAGTGCTGTCTGTCTGTGATAGTAAGGAGGGCATGATGTGGTCAGGAAGCAGAAGATGTTTATATTAGCTTACTAAATCCAGTCTTCATCCAGACTCCTAGACATGAGATGGTGGCTCTCACATTCAGGGCAGGTCTTCTGGCCTCAGTTAATCCTCTCTGGAAAATTCTGCATGTGCACTCAGGTGTGCTTCCCTGATCTTTTTGGTGGCTCTCAATCAATGCTACAGTCACTGTTACAACAGTATTTGTGTAGCACAGTTTAAAGTTGGCTTTGAGATACACATATTTATAGATGCCCACAGAGACTTTCCTCTAAGAAAGGTGTAATCATCATACTCAATTCTGTCTATCTGTTGTACGCAGACTTTTCTTTCCCACCAGCCAGTTCTCAAATAACTACACAGATTTACTGTTAATTATCAATGTTTGACCAATAGCTCAGGCTTGTTACTAGCTAACTCTTACATTTTAAAATTAATCATATTTCTTATCTACACTCTGCTTGGTACCTTTTCTCAGTACAGCAAGTTCATCTCCTGCTTCCTCTGCATCTCCTTGTGACTCCCAAGACTCCTCCTCTTCTTTGAATTCTCTTTTTGTCTGCTAGTCCTGCCTAACCTCTACCTGTCCAACTATTGACAAGTCAGCTTCTTTATTAAACCAATCACAGTGACATTCACACAGTGTAAAGGAATATTCCTCTTCTGTCTGTCTGTCTGTCTGTCTGTCTTAATTTTTGTGGCACTGGGAATGAAAACCAAAGTGTTAGACCAGTGTCTTCTGCTTAGCCATACTCTTCCCACATCCCCTTATACATTTAAATTTAGGCTCTACTTATCCATATCATTTTCAGTATATTAGTTACATTTCTATCAATGTAATAAAACCTCTATGACCAAGGCACCTCATCAAAGGAGAGTTTATTTGGGCTTACAGTTCCAGAGGGAGAAGAGTCTATCACAATTACATTAGGGAATCATGACAACAAGCACCAGCTGTGATGGCTGGAACTGCTGAGAACTCACGTCTTGAACTATGAGACGAGAGAGCAAATGGGGAATGGCATATGGCTTTTTTTTTTTTTCGAGACAGGGTTTCTCTGTGTAGTTTTGCGCCTTTCCTGGAACTCGCTTTGTAGACCAGGCTGGCCTTGAACTCACAGAGATCTGCCTGCCTCTGCCTCCTAAGTGCTGAGATTAAAGGCGTGTGCCACCACCGCCCCGGCATATGGCTCTTAAAACCTCTAATCTTTCCCCAGTAGTTATTGTTGCACTCCTTTGTTGTCCATGGCAACTGCTGGTCACACTGCTGAGAATTCCTGGGCCTGGCCTGGTCCCATGTGCACTCCTGTAGAGGTTACCTCAGGGGACTCAGACCAGGCAGTAGTCTGTGCTCCTCTGCTTGTATTAAAAAGAACAAATACTTTTTTAGAACTCAGATCATTCCTGACCACAATCCATGTCAGATTAGATTTTTACAGTAATGAGATTGGAAGTGGAAAATGAAGTGATTTGGTCAGGGAAGACTCGGTAAGTCTGAAAAGGAGTGGCCTGATGAGACCAGGCTGGGGGTAAAGTGGGCGAAACATGCAGGAGGACAGGGGACAGCTGGTGCAGAGTACAGAGTTGACAGGATGGTGCCTCGAGGCTGCCACATCTGTGCATGGCCTGGTGGGAGCCACTGGTATGTCCTGTGCTTGGCTGGGGCAGCCTCCTTGGGGCCATCTTTTTTTTTTTTTTTTCATTTTTCTTTATTAAAAAATTTTCTACAAATTCTACATACCACTCACAGATCCCACCTCCTCCCTCCTCCCACCCCCAGCCCTCCCTCCCAAGCCACCCCACGTCCCCCAAATCAAGGTCTCCCATGGGGAGTCAGTAGAGCCTGGCACACTGAGCCTAGGCAGGTCCTTGGGGCCATCTTTATTAACTTGCCCTGCTGCAGTGGGTCAAGTCAGCAAAGGGACAGGAAGGACACCAAGGATCAAGTTACTGCATATTAGTGACCCATCAGCACCTTGAGAACTGGGGCCCTACTCTCATTAGTCTCCTTTTTACAGAGGCCAAAAGAGCTCACAGGTCCTCAAGTGATTAATGTAGTGTCTATTCATTGGCTTCTTGTAGTTTCCAGAGAAAGGGTACTGGGATTTTTCTGCTTTCAATACTTGCTGAGCATCTGACTAGGGCAGAAGCGGGGTGGGGGTGGTATATGTCTACAAGGATAGGTGAAGCAGTGTAGCTAGAGTTTTCCTGCCTGGCCCACAGTCAGGACAAATCTCTCTCACCTGCCAGTCCCACAGCCGCTCAGACCCAACCAAGTAAACACATTGCTTACAAACTGTATGGCCGTGGCAGGCTTCTTGCTAACTGTTCTTATATCTTAAATTAGTCCATTTCTATAAATCTATACCTTGCCACATAGCTTGTGGCTTACCGGCATCTTTACATGCTGTTTGTCATGGTGGCGGCTGGCAGTGTCTCTCTGACTCAGCCTTCCACTTCCCAGCTTTATTCTCCTCCTTGTCCCGCCTACACTTCCTGCCTAGCCACTGGCCAATCAGTGTTTTTTTTTGACCCATCAGAGCAACACATTTGCCATACAGAACATCCCACAGCAAAGCAGGTCTTAAGGGTAACATGATTATGACCCAGTGGCTGGGATGGGGACACAGAAAGGAAGTGGTGACAAGCCCAGGACAGCAGGAGGAGGCAGAGCCAGGTACAAGAAGTGGGGGCCAAGTCAGCAAGGGACAGGAGTGACCCCGCTGAGGGAGGAGACAAGAGTTGCTTAGTCTCTCAATATGCCAAATGGGATGAAAAGAAGACTACAAAGGCCTCATCCCTTATATATAAAGAACTATTTAGGTGTGCTGGCTAGTTTTATGTCAACTTGACACAAGCTAAACTCATCTGAGAGGAGGGAACCTCAGTTGAGAAAATGGCTTAAGACTGGCCTCTAGGCAAGTCTGTAGGGCGTTTTCTTAATTAGTGATTGATAGGAGGACCCAGCCCACTGTGGGTGGGGCCACCCCTGGGCTGGTGGTCCTGGGTTCTAAAAGAAAGCAGAATGAGAAAGCAATGGGAAGCAAGCCAGTAAGCAGCACCCCTCCATGGCCTCTACATCAGCTTCCGCCTCCAAGTTCCTGCCCTGCTTGAGTTCCTGCCCTCTCTGCTTTTTAATGATGAACTGTCATATGGAACTGTGAGTGAAATTAACCCTTTCCTTCCCAAGTTGCTTTTTGTTATGGTGTTTCATCACAGCAAAAGTAACCCTAACTAAGACAATAGGCAACTAAATAAAGCTAGGAACAGGAGAGGTGGCCCTCCCCAAAGAAGGGCACATCAATTGGTTGTCCAGTGCTAAAGGGTCAGCCCTGAAAGCATACATATAGGTAACATTATTTGGACTCAAATAGGTTATATTTAGGAATATATATGTGTTTACATCTACTTATATACATGCAATAATGTTAAGTGAAAGAAGAGACCATGAATTTGAAGAACAGGGACGGGCATATGGGAGAGTGTGGAGTTGCCATGCGTGTGAGGCTGCTGACACAGGCAGTTGCTCCTGGTTTAGTGGAATCCAGGGGGTTCAATGCTTGTTGACAGACACGTGTATGTGACATGTGCAGTGTATGTGCATACAAACATGTGAGACTCACACAGAAGAACTTACCAGTAGCTCTTACCTGTTGTTCTCACAGTCCACTGTGCAAAATGGCTTTAGTGTTGCTACTATACAGAAGGAACCAAGGCTAAGACAGCACAGTGACCGGGCTGGGTTTCTGTGTTAGTAGCAAATAAAGATTAAAGAGGTCTGTCAGTCACAAAGCCTGTTTCTCAACCTGTACTTTTGGGAGAGGAAAGCCCCAAACATTTAGGACTTCTGAGTGGCCAGACAGTCTAGAGGTTATTTCAGGTCCATCTTGCTACTTCTTAGCCATGGACCCAAGGAGGAGACCAGTTGTACCTCTTTGTCTCCACCCAAAAGCAAGAAAGAGCACTGTCTGGGTTCATAGGTGGCAGACAGGGGATATGCATCCAAGTAGCTGTGACTACTGTCACCGGCATTACTGTCCCATGGGTCACCATGTAAGCAGCCCATCTCCAATGTTTTGATCTCTGGAGGTGTCAGCCATGTCTAACTTCTCCCAGTATACCCCAGGAGGATGGGATGAGGGGCTAGCACTGATTCTGTGTGTGTCTCTCTTTATTCTACAGAGGTTCTATGTGGCCTCCTCCCGACAGCTGAAACGCCTAGAGTCTGTCAGCCGTTCCCCTGTGTATTCACACTTCAATGAGACCTTGCTGGGGGTCAGTGTTATCCGTGCTTTTGAGGAGCAAGAGCGCTTCATTCGCCAGAGCGACCTGAAAGTGGATGAGAACCAGAAGGCCTACTACCCTAGCATTGTGGCTAACAGGTGGGGGTAGTGGTCAGTAGGATAGAGGAAGCCAGCTGAGTGCTTAGTCCCTCAGCCTCTGTTTCTTCTGGAAGGGAAATGGAAAAAGAAGGGCCATCCAAAGTGCACAGGATCATGGTGGTATGTGCCTGAAGGAAGATTACCATGAGTTTGAGGTGGCCTTGATTACCTAGCGAATTCCAGGCCAGCTAGGCTATAGAATGAGACCTTGTCTCGAAGATAAAGCAATCCGGGGACTGGAGAGATGGTCTGGGGCTAATATTATTTACTGTGCAAGCATGAGAACCCACATTTATGTCCCCACATACCCTTGGCATTGTGGGGTGCAGATGGGAGGTGGTCCCAAGAGCTCAATGTCCAACCTTGTTAATAGCAGCTTTTTTCTTCCTCATGTCAAGATCCATCTCTTGCCAAGGGGCTGATTTTATTTATTTATTTTGTAATTATTGCTATTATTTTGTGGTGGTGACTCTCAAACCCAGGGCCTTGGGCATGTCAGGCCAGTGATCCACCGCTGAGCTCTGCACCTGCCCCTGTCCCTGTTTGCAAACAGCAGTGCCTCTGGCAGTCGATGACATTTTAGGAATTTCCAGGGAATTATTTTTTGAATTTAAAGATTTCCTAAGAAAAAGTCAATCTTTCTAAAAGCAAACTTGAGGTTCCAAGATGGGGATTGCTTCTAGAGAATTCTATTTTAGTCCCCAGGCAAGCCAGACTTATGAAGAGCTGTTGGACTCAAATCCCATGGGCCCTTGGCATACCGCCCCCGCCCCCCTGCCCCCCTCCCAGTTCATATCTTGGATGAGGGGTACCCACAGGCCTTTCTCTAGAAGTGCTAGGAAATTAGGTCAGTTGGCAGATGGGTTTAGCTCTGCCCCATGAGCATAAAGCTGGTTATCTATCTGTCTGTCTGAGATACTCCTACATATCTCCTTGCAGGTGGCTTGCTGTGCGTCTTGAGTGTGTGGGCAACTGCATCGTGCTGTTTGCTGCCCTGTTTGCTGTCATATCCCGGCACAGCCTCAGTGCTGGCTTGGTGGGCCTCTCGGTATCTTACTCGCTGCAGGTAGAAGGCTCTTTCTTGGGTTGAATGGTCTCCTCATGGCAACCACATTTTGAGTTCCTGGACCTTGGCTTTGGGTACCTGCAGGAATGGAGAAAGGAGAGGGCTTGAAATGGAGTTTGAGAAGTTGGTACAGAGCATGGGAATCCTGACACACAGCCTGCATTCTTCATCAGTCAAAAGATTCTCAGCGACTTGATGCTTTCAAAGCTATGACTTTACCTCTGAGTTCTGTGTTAGTTGCATCTCATGATGTTTGTCATACTGAGCTCAAAATATTTTCTTTTGCGTGATTGAGATGGGTTATTACTCTGTAGCCCAGTCTGGCCTAGAACTTAACATAATTCTCATGCTTCAATCTCTCTGGAGCACCGGGATTAATTATGGATATGAACCATCACATGAAAATCACCCAGTTTCAGAATATTTTCCAGTTTCCTGTATGACTTCTCTTTTTGTCTGCCTTTTCTTTCTTTCTATCTTCTCTCTTTCCCTCCCTCCCACAGTAAACATGTAGAGGTCAGAGGACAACTCTGTGGAGTCAGTTCTCTCCTTGCATCTTTCCATGGCTCTGGAGGGTAGAACTCAGGTTGCCAGGCTTGCTCAACAAATGCTTTGCCCACAATGCCATCTCACAGCTCTTGACTGCTCTTGAAAGGTGTGATCCCTAAGAGGTGCAGTGTGTCCACTCTGGGTGATAGCTCTATATGGGTTACTCATTTCTGTATTTGTTTGAATGATATAATGCATACTTAATGAAAATGAAGCCACACTTTCCCCGAGACCCCACATGATTCTCTTCACTGGCAGATAACTTCATACTTGAATTGGCTTGTTCGAATGTCCTCTGAGATGGAGACCAACATTGTGGCCGTGGAAAGACTAAAGGAGTATTCTGAAACAGAGAAGGAGGTAAGTCAGGATCCCACCCTGGCCCCTTGACCTTGGCCTTCCAGACACCCCTTGGGTGTCCTCTGCCAACTCACAGGGTGAGCTATGTGCCTTCCAGGCCCTCTTTGGCTTGTCCTGTCTGTTTTTAACACTTACTAAGAACCACCTTGTTTTAGAAGGAAATCATCCACATGCCCTGTTTTCCCCAAGATACCTGTGGGCTGTGTCTCTTACTAAGGAGCATTTTCCCCTGTGATTCTTTCCTTCACTTGATGATGTCACAGAGAAAGTCTTAGCCCTGGTTGTCACTCGAAGCTCATGGCCACCTTATTAATTAAGGTGGTTCCCCCACAGCTGGCAGATAAACTGCAAACTTCACTTTCACAGCCTCTAACAGGCAACCTCTGCCTGCCAAAGTTACCTGCTATTTGCTATGTCAGTTTACAGGGGCTCTTTTTATGGGGAATCAAATGGAATTAAATTGCATCAGTGCAAAAATTTTCCCTAAGTTGAAGAATTGAGTGGAAATGAATTGAATAGAAGTGTTAGAAGGGGCTGGGGAGATAGCTCAACGGGTGAAGAGTTCAGATCCCTAGAACCTACATAAAGACTGAGTTTGGCAGCTTGCACTTGCTGATTTCTCTTATCCCTCTTGTTGTAATACAGGCTCCCTGGCAAATCCAGGAGACGGCTCCACCCAGCACCTGGCCCCATTCGGGCCGTGTAGAATTCCGAGACTACTGCTTGAGGTATCGAGAGGACTTGGACTTGGTTCTCAAGAACATAAATGTCACCATCGAGGGTGGAGAAAAGGTGGGTGTGCCATCTTCCATCCTCACTAACTCAGTCAATGGAGTGAGGAGTAAAGGAGGCTGTGTGCCATCCTACATTCCCATTGACTTAGGGTCCAGCATGAACCCCCACATCAACCAGTAGTTAGTCACAGCTCATACTATAGGATTGAGGTGCTTTTACAGGGAGGAATCATGGGAATAATAAAAGATGCTGAGTATATTCAACAGGTGGCAAAGTGGACCTGAAGGACAAGACCTATGGAAATGCAGATATGTTTGGGGGAAACATTTGAATGAACTGTAAATACTAAAATGTTCCCTCTGCTTTTTTTGGACAGTTGGAATATGTAGCAGTTCTGGCCCAACCCCCTCCAGGCTTTTTATAGAAAATCTTAGCCCTCCAGTTCACCCCAGTTCCTCCTGTGGGGTCCATGTGCCTATGTGGTCCCTTTAAAGCATCGGCATTTGTAAACTGTAGAGTAATAAGATGCTGCTGTCATCACCAGGATGACTTATAGGGACATGTAGTTCTAAGCTATTCCTGGAAGACATTTCAGACTATGACCTATAGAATTTTCTCAGAAACTTGGTCTGGGTTCACCCTAGGCATTTGCATCTTGTAATATTGATTTGTTAAATTGTCCATCCACATGTGTCAGAGTCTTCTGTTTCTATGAGATAGTCTCTGAGTCTTTATGTGTTTATGGGGATTCAAGTACGTGTGCTGGGCTGCGATAATGGTGGGCGAGCCCATCTCAAGCCCAGATGTAAAAGAGAGGAGAAAGAACTGTCACTGGACATTGGGAATGTCAACCATTGGCCTGTAACTGGGGTGCCCGCCCAGGCCATATCAGAGAAGTTCAGAGGCTTTGCTTGAATCTGAGGTGTTGTCATGGCTCCAGGAAGGAATTCCCGTTAGAGGAGAAAGGAACCATGTGGGAAGCCAGGAAGCACCTTATTATTTTCTGACTCTCTTTAATTGAACATAGCATAACTCACCTAAACATTTCTCTGCACCCTATTCCTTTGAGCATCTCTACTGACTTATATTAAGTCCTTAGCCTTTGGAAGCCTGCAAAGCAAAGAGCATCCTTTCCAATCTTTTGTCAAAGTGGCCCCTGAAGGTAGGTCTTGGAGAAGCTGGGGGGTGAGCACCTTGATAGTAGCTAAATCAACTAGATGACCACAGCTCTGACCCAGCCACTTGCTGGGAGAACATTGAATCTGCAGCGTTCTCACCTCACCACAGTCCCTTCCTGTCCTGCAGGTTGGTATTGTGGGCCGTACAGGAGCTGGGAAGTCATCTCTCACCCTGGGTTTGTTCCGGATCAATGAGTCTGCAGAAGGGGAGATCATCATCGATGGGGTGAACATCGCTAAGATTGGCCTGCACCACCTGCGCTTCAAGATCACCATCATCCCTCAGGTGGGCGAGGCTGGTGGTTCCTGCACATACTGAAGCCACACCCTCTGTATCCATAGACTCAGCCAACTGTAGATGGAGAATGGTGTTTTTGCATTCATGTATTTACTGGGAGGAGGGGAACAGGTCATATGTATGAAGATCAACTACAGGAATCAATTCTCTATATGTGTAATTCTGAGGTTAGAATTCAGGTCATCAGGCTTGGTGGCATGTGCCTTTAGGTCACTGAGCCCATGGCTAGTTTTTTTTTCAGGTTTAGCATCTGCACTTAATACCATACATAGATTTTTATCCCCAAGTGATGTGATGCACAGCCATTTTCCCAGTATTTTCTTGGTATTAGGTAGTACATCATCTAGACATGGCTGTATGTAGGAGCTGTGAGTAAGTTATGTGAAAATACTATACTGTTTCATACAAAGAACCAGAGCATCTATGGTTTTAGATGGTAACACTGTCTTCTCTGCCAGTTGCAGGAGTCAGCGTGTTAATCTCTAACACTTCCTGGAGCTAAGCTACAGATAAGAATTTTCTAAACCAATCCCTGTGGGCAACAGTTCCCTAAGGCATTATTTGTGGTTGTGATTTTTCCTTAACTTTCTCTGAGAGTCTTTTCTGAAGGTGGGAATGAGGGAGTGTAATTGTTACATTTCTGTTGCTGTGATGAAATACCACCACTAAAAGCAACATAGAGGATTTACATATTGAAAGTTTGGAGGAGTTTTGCAAGAATAAAGGTTTTGGTCCAGTTTACCCAGGGCTTTTCAGACATTTCCTGTTACAGACATCCTACAGAGTTCATACTTTGGAGAGAATCTGAGATCTCTTCCTGTTGTAGTGTGAACATCTCGTTTTTTCTATCTATGAGCTTTCCTGGTTTATTGTGGTGTGACTGTTTTGTTAGTTACTTTTCTGATAGTTGTGACAAAACCTCTGACAGAGTCATCTGCAGGAAAGAAAGGTTTATTTTGGTCACAGTGTCACAGGGTTGCTTTCTACTATAGTGGGGGAAGCATGGTCACACAGTAGGTGTGTGGTGGGAACCCAGCCAGCATCAGAGCCAAGTCTAACCTGCTTTCCCCATACAGGCTCCACAACATCCTAAAATAACACCACCAACCAGGGAACAAGTGCTCAAAACATCAGTCTGTGGGGAGCCTTCTAGATTCAGACCCTCACACATGCTATCTACTGTCCTTGCACAGGATCCTGTTTTGTTCTCGGGTTCTCTCCGCATGAACCTGGACCCTTTCAGTCAATATTCTGATGAAGACGTCTGGATGGCCCTGGAGCTCGCTCACCTGAAGGGCTTTGTGTCAGCTTTGCCTGACAAGCTGAATCATGAGTGTGCAGAAGGCGGAGAGAACCTGAGGTAGGTAGGCAGGCAGGGGCTGGTGCCTATGTGCTAACTTCCAGCCTCCTGCTTCAGTGCTAGGGTGGTCAGCCGGGAGCTGTGCTGCTCATCCTGGCTGGGCTCATTCATGGGACAGGGTTGGGGGTACAGCTGACTTTTGGCTGATCTACTTGGCCTCAGTGGGGTCATTGCACATATTTTCATCCTCCAGCAGACTTGCCCAGGCATGCTGTCATAGTGATGGCAGATGTGTAAGAGTGAATATGCTCAGTGTCCATTCCCACGTTAGGCCATTCATTGGCCAGCATCCTGTTGGCTAAAGCCAGACCCATAGCTGATTCTGCTGCAGCTCAATGATATCATGGATACTAAGCCACTCTGTCACCCACACCAAAATGGCCTGATACTTTGAATATCACCTCTGAGCCTTTTGTTGGGGATGGTTCTAAGCCCATTTCTTGCTCACCAGGAAGTGTAACATGATTGATATTTGTCACAGGCATGGACATGGGTGTGGACTTGTTCTTCTGCCCAAAGCCCACCCCCAGACAGTCTGCTAGCTTTCTTCCCTCCAGGCCTGGTTCAGGATCAGGGTAGTTTGAGCCCCCATCTCTAGGCTTTTCTCCCTTCCTAGTGTTGGGCAGCGCCAGCTTGTGTGCCTGGCCCGGGCTCTGCTGAGGAAGACAAAGATTTTAGTGTTGGACGAGGCTACAGCAGCTGTGGACCTAGAGACAGATGACCTCATTCAGTCCACGATTCGGACACAGTTTGAAGACTGTACTGTGCTCACTATTGCTCACCGGCTTAATACCATCATGGACTATACAAGGTAAGGCCCCAGAGTGGATCTGTGGGCCTACAGGGTTGATCCTGTCCAGTCATATTCATTCATTCATTCATTCATTCATTCATTCATCACCATCCTTATGCTCAGGGCAACCCCAATTGGTGGAACTCTTCTGTCATAGGAAGAACCAGGTTATCCAGTGTTATTTCAGTCAGCATATTGATATGCATGCGGGGCCTGCTATAAACCCCATGTTATTCTGGACTCAGGGGTTCCCTCTCAAAGCTTAGGGAATATCTTAAGGACCAGGACACTTAATTAAAAGAGAGGGACAATGATCACAGCAACACTGATTTCAGAAGGTGGCATGTGCTGTGTATAAGTGATAACAAGGAAGTAGTAGGGTGGGTACCCAGATGAGCCCATCTCTCCAGCCTCTAGAGTTCTTAATACTTTCTGCAGAGCAGGTAATCTCACAGATATTAGACACATCTCTTTGCGTAATGCTCACGTCTGCATCCCTCTCCATGCAGGGTGATCGTCTTGGACAAAGGAGAAGTTCGGGAGTGTGGTGCACCCTCTGAGCTCCTGCAGCAGAGGAGCATCTTCTATAGCATGGCTAGGGATGCTGGCTTGGTGTGAGCTGGGTGCTGGTATATCTGGTAAGAACTATAGGGCCAGCATCCCAGTGTCTAAGGATGAGCCAGCAACCCTGGGAACCCAAGCCTCACAGACAGAAACCAAAAAATAAAAAGAAAACCAAACTAAAAAGAAGCAAAACAGACAAAGCAGCAGCCACCATCTGGCCCCATCCTGGATCTGACCTTGAAGAAACTGGGAGACAGGTGTATCCCACTTTGAACACACATCTGGCCTCTGGTACCACTTGTGAGGTTCCTGGAAGTTCACCTGTGCTCTAGCCCTAGCTCACAGCAGGGCCTAGGGCAGCTAAACTTCTGGAGAAATTGCTGGTGTCGAACACACTAGTTAGTGACCAAACACAGCCATTGCCTCATGTCTCTCCAGCCACATTCATGGATGCCAAGGCTTGGAACCTCTCCCTAGCCTGCCAGCTCTTGTATCACTTCCATGGCCCTGTTGGTTCCAGAAGAGTGCTTCCTGTCTTCAGACCTGCAGTTGAAAGCATGGGAACAACAACAAAACAAAACAACACACACACACAAAAAAAAAACCAAACAAAACAACCAAAACCAAAGCTGTTGCCTCTGTGTAATGTCCCCTTGCCTGCCATCTGGTCTTCAGGCACTCTGACACTGTTCCCTGCACCTAGTGCAGCTCTCACAGGACTTGCTTTAGAAGCAGCCTTGTGAAGGGACCTTGCCAGACAGGCTCAGAACCAGGCCAGGCAATACTGCCTTCCCAGGGACTTACATCTTGCCCCACCATCCCTCCCTTGCTTTCTGCATCTTCCTATCTATTGCTGGGGAGGGCTTGCTCCTCTCAGAAGGTCTGTGAGTAGCAAAAGTCAAGAGAATGAGGGGCAGTACCCACAGATGAGAAGGCTGGTACCAAAGACAGAGCCAGAGTCCCCTCCAGGACAAGAAGACCATTAACAAACAGCAATGACCCCCTCATACCCCCCCTCCATTTTTAAGGATTGTTCCAGAGAAAAAGACGGTCCCAAGAATTTGGTATCTAGGGAGGAGGTACTGGACTCAGGGAATAGCCATGCCCAGCTCTGCACTTGATCCTCAGTCTGAATCCTTCAAAGTGGTCCTCTAGGTGTTTGGGTTACAGACCAAAGAGAGACTCCCATGGGCAGTGAAAACTTACTGCCAGCTACAGTTCATACATGCTATGAATTTCAGCGCTGATTTTCTTTAGGTGGCAATATGTGTATTTATTATTTTTGTAAATTGTAACATTCTTTCACGTTAAAGGACCCAGATTTCTCCTGGGGGTCTTTTTGTAAGGACACTGGAAACGTGAATATTTGCAAATAATTTGCAGTAAAGAAAAATATTTTATTTCTTTCTAAACAACCATCTTATTTTCTTTTGGGCACAGACAAAGGTTTCCAACCTCCACTCTGGAAGAACCAGGCTAGGAGAGCTATGTTACTGCTGTTGTCAGAAGTGGCGGGACAGGACAGAGAGGTGGCTCAGCAGTTATGAGTGCTTGCTCCTCTTGCAGAGGACTGCATCAGGTGACTTACTACTGCCTGTATCTCCAGCTTCAAGGGGTCCAGTGCCCTCACAAATTAAAAATAAAAAAGAAATGGGAGAGGCTAAGGTTAAGAGCTGCCTGGGGTCTGGCAGTGAGTCAGAATGGTAAAGTACACAAATACCTGGGCTTGAGTACTGTCATTTTTTGGTCATGTGACCCTAGGCAAGGCACTTAGGCTGTATGCCTCAGTTCTGTCTGCGTAAGGTAGCCACGTTCAGGTTCTGAGACAAAAGCTACAAGTGGCCCAAATACTTTGCTGTAGTGGGTGGGGCTGAGCTGCAGTTAACAAGGCTTAAGATCTTGGGAAATAGGGCTAGTGAGATGGCTCAGTTGGTAAAGGGCTTGCTATCTGTTCATGAGAGCCTACATTTCAATCCTCAACATAAATGCTGGTATATGCGTACAATTGTATATGTATATACATAGTGTTTATATGCATATAAACAGTATATGCATATAATCCCAGCACTGGGGAGGAAACAGGAATATCCCTGGGACTTTCTGGCCAGCCCGCTTAGCCAAATCAGTGAACTCCTTGTTCAATAAGAGCTTAAGGTAGGGGCTGTAGCAATGGCTCAGTGGTTAAAAATGCAGGATACCGCCGGGCGGTGGTGGTGCATGCCTTTAATCCCAGCACTCGGGAGGCAGAGCCAGGCGGATCTCTGTGAGTTCGAGGCCAGCCTGGACTACCAAGTGAGTTCCAGGAAAGGCGCAAAGCTACACAGAGAAACCCTGTCTCGAAAAACAAAAAAAAAAAAAAAAATGCAGGATACTTTTGCAGAGGACCCGGGTTCAGTCCGCAGCACCCACATTGAGCAGCTCAGAAATTTCTGGCCTCTAAGGTCACCTGCTCTCATGTGCACATAAACACAAACTTATGCACATATACATAATTAAACATAAAATGAATCTAAAAAAGATTTTATGTTTTGGCTGTTATTCCAGAGGACCCGGGTTCAATTTCCAGCACATGGTAGCTCACAACTCACAAATGTCTGTAACTCCAGTTTATTTTGGTCTCTACGTGAACCAGGCATAAATATTGTGCAGACACATGCAGATAAAATACATTTTTTAAAGGTAGAGAAAAATATCAAACATTAGCCTCTGGCCTTCACACAGGTGCACACAAAATGGACACAAGCTTGACAATCTCCAAGATGATTTGGTCCCCTCTCCAGAGTAGAAACTCAAATTGGTCTCTTGTCCTTGCCACTGGCTTCTGGGTGGGAGATGGGAGAATGTGCATGACAACCTCTCTTCAGTGTCTAAAACTGGGGAAGACACTGTTCCCTCAATCCATTGGCAAAGTCAGCTCCCTGCTTGGCCACAACCAAAACAAAGGAAGCAGGGAATATGCAGAGGATATTTTCTCAATGACTGCATGCCATAGTGCTCTAGGATTTAGATGGTGGGATGGTGAGACTGGGTGCTGGCTTTCTGAGTTTGGTCTAGGTGAGTGTGGGTAGTAAGGAATATCCTATGGGGGTGATGGTGGGGGACAGCAAACAGTGTGTACAGGCACATGTAGCCTGCCATTGAAACCATTGGTCTACCTCAATGACAAAGCAGTGGGAGTGGGGAGCCCTGACGGTAAGACTCAGAACCATCTGGACCTGTTGGCTGGACCTGAACCTTATATATGGGGTGTGTTTCCTGCCTCAATTCCAAGCCAGATCCTCAAGGACTTCAGAGCTCACTGAGGGAAGAGCTAGGATAGGGCACTGAGTTTATTTGCCCAGTTTATTTACTCTGTGGAGAATCTGTTAAAGAAAACAGTCAAATTCTCAGATCAAGACTTCAGAGCCCAGGAGCTCCCCAAGCTCTCCCAATGTCTGTCCTTAGCTATGCCTTCCAGTTAAAATTACCAACTCCATGAAACATGTCAGTGGTGTAATCAGGTCAGTCACATCCTCCTGTGTCCTCTCCCAGATCCTGTTCAAGCTGGCTTTGCTTCAGGGGCCTCTGCCATCTGTGTTTTCTCTAGAGCACCTCCCACGGCTCCACACAGAATGTAAAAAGGGCCTCTTGAACATAACCCATCTAGGAACTGCAGATCCTGCCTTGATGCCACAGAGGTCAGGACACCCTGCCGGCTGGGGTTTAATGAGTATGAAACAGTTCAGAAAAAACATCTGATACAGTGCCTGGACCCCAAGACTACTTGCCAACAGAAAGCTTGTATTTGTTAGTCCCTCCTTCCTGTCCCTGGCTCACCCAGTCAGTATTTATTGGGTGTCCCTGTTTTGTACTGTGCAAGGTTCTGGAGACACATAGTAAACATCCAATTTCTCAAGTAAATCTCTCTAAGAAGGAAAGGAAGCTTGCCCCAACCTCTGCCCTTGAGGTGGGAGTCTGGGACGGAAGTTGGTTCTGGGCATGTGCTGAGGAGATGGAGAGGCCTGATGGCTGGAAAGGTAGGCTGCTGAGCAGAGATTGCCGTCAAAATTTTCTGGCCTCAGTTTTCTATCAAAGGGCTTTAGTGACTGCCAATACATCCTTGAGGGATGTAGGAAGGAAGGGCTTGATGATGGTACTACTTCCTTTGACTTAGTTTCCTGAATGTGTTCCATCCCAGCACCACATAAAAGAAAAAAAAAGCCAGGTGGTAGTGGTGCACGCCTTTGATCCCAGCACTCGGGAGGCAGAGGCAGGCGGATCTCTGTGAGTTTGAGGCCAACCTGGGCTACAGCGTGAGTTTCAGGAAAGGCACAAAGCTACAACAGAGAAACCCTGTCTCAAAAAACAAAAACAAACTACAGAATGAGGCTGAGGCTTGAGGGATTAATGGTTGGGTCACCCTGCTGGCTTGTCCAGATGCTACCATATCCCGGCCACCTATGGCACAGGCTCTATTCCTAGACCAATGTATCTCTTAAGCATCTCCAGCTGGACTTAGAGACACACAGCAGCCTCTGCCTGAGTGCTCTGTTGCCTAGTCTCTGCTTCCCCTAGAGCAGAATTGCCAGCAGGGCCACTGGAACTGGGTGATTAGAAGCCAAGGGCTAGTTTCCACTTGGTCACTGGGCACCTTGTGTCACCACTTTCTAGCTTCAGTTTCCTCTTCTGCACAACAAAGGCAGCCATTGGTGATGAGGCTGCCTTTGCAAAGTGGATAGCCTCTGAGCTTCTGGCCATACTCACAAAATGGGATCTGTCTGGGCTGAAGGGGAACCGCCAGAGAAGGGTGGGCCATCAGAGAATCCTCAGGACAGTGGCCCTGTATCTTTTGAACAGGTTCAGTCCTCTCCTGACCCCAACATAGTAACTGCCCATGTATCAGGTACTAGGGCAGACTACACCAGTAATGAGGCCCCTGGGGATCATGGCAGTATGTGGGAATTGCTTTGCCACAGTGATAGAGGGGCATCTGAGTAGAACCCAAGAATACTGCTCAACATACTTAGCATGCATAAGACCTACCAGCCCTGGCCCACAGCCAACATGGTAACAGTGATGAGTCAGGGTGGGTATAGTGTCACAAGACTGTTACTTTCTCTGGATGCTGAGACAGAGGAATTAGAGTTTGAGAGTAGCATGGGCAATATATTCAGAGACTCAACCTTGCAATTTTAAATAGGTGTAGAACTGAATCCAGAGCTGGGGATGTAATGCAGTTGTGTGCTTGCCTAGCACACACAAAGCTTTGTGTTTGAGCCCCATAAACAGGGTATGATTACTAAACAAGCCTGAAATCCCAACACTTGGGAGGTAGAAGCAGGAACATCAGAAGTTCAAGGCCATCCTCAGCTACAAAGAGCTCAAGGCCAGCCTGGGCTTTGTGAAACCTTGTCTCACAAAAGGGCAACAGAAGCACTGGATTTACATACAGACATACAAGCAATAGAAGAAATGTGGACATGCTTATATCAATGTGCCATTTAATCTTGTCCTAGAGTTAGGCATCTCTGGAACAAACAGGGCAGAGGATCCATGGGTTCTCTCTGTGTGATTTCTTAAAACTGCATGTGAAATCTGCAATGACCTCAAAATAAGGGGAGTTGAGGGAAATGTACTCACTATCATGCAGTTCAGGGCATAC